CCCCCCCCACCCATCACCTTACAACCTACAGGCCTCTGGTAGATATTTTGTGATTGAAGGGAGATAACTATCTTTTTGTTTTCAGATCCAGAACTTTATAAACAGTTAAATAGTTCTGTTTAAGTAATTAACATAAACTTCCTATGCTGTCGCTTCTTAATAAAATCTGCCGTAGTCATTTCAAGAGATGATATATTGACAGTTTGCGGTTTCAAGGCACATTATTTTAATTTTAATTTCCTTGTGAAACTCTTTTTCTTCCTATTTTAACATCAAGAACAAGCACAAAAAAACATGACATTACTTATTATTTGTTCAAAACTGCTGTTCAGCATTATTCACTATAACCATTAACGGGGAAAATAACCTCCATGAGGTAGTGTTGTCAAATACCATAATTTTAACAGTTTTAATGTAATATCAATACACGTGTTTTTGGAGGGTTTTTAAGAATATCGGCTTTAAATTATGTCTGGATAAATACTACATGCAAATATCTCTTCGAAACCAAATGGCACTGTTCCATAACGGTTTCTTTCTGACTTGTCCGTTCCTGTAATTCAACGCGATTCAACAGGCGGTTCGCCAATACACAAGGTGCCATTTGCACATGTGTCCGTGTGTATTGAACCGTATGCACTTTGAAAACATCGTTTTTACAGAACGGAAGAGAAACAAGACAGCTTATTTCGAAACGAAATTAACATTGAAACACTTAAGAACCAGTTCTTACCCATGTAAAATACTTGTCATATGCATTTTAACCTTGATATCATACCAAGTTCCCAAATTTCGTGCGAGAACCAGGAGGTGAGCTCGCACCTTTGTGACTCTCGACGAAGACTGGCAGACATTTGGTTCAAACACCGGCTTATCATATAGCCAAAACATCTAAATATTGGAGTTTGGAATTTTTTACTTAAGTTTTAAATCATAATTTGTGACACAAACCTGTTTTTACAACTTTTTGTTGACTTTCCCGCGAAGTTTCTGCAGAGATAATGGCGGCCTTGACATGTGCATACAGGTCCCACAATGCTATGCGAATGTTGTTACCTGGGCCAAAGTTTGGCGCCAAATTTAAACTCGCTTTGAAAAGGGGCGTGTCTTTTTAAGTACATCGAAGTTGTAACGACATTGTAAAACACGATTTTTAATAAAAGTGGATAATTACGATAAGAAATTTCGGTATCTTGAAAGAAAGAAAAAAAATCGATTTAAAATCTGATTTATAATCAATAAGCAATATAAAAAAATAGATTTTAAGAGTTAGATCAATAGACTATTTCTTATATGGATTTTCAGTTTATGTTTCTTATTTATTCTATATTCATATTATGATTATTGCTTGTCCCAGTTGCTGGTTTGGTGTAAAAGAAAAATAAGGTAACCAAACAATTTTGACTGTTTTGGGTTTTCAGGTGAGTTGATATAACTTTGTTTCCTCGGAGGTTGATTCTCCAACCAGAGACGTGTGAAGCCATAGTGCCATCTGTGGCGTAGCAAATCATATTTCGAAGTGTATGCTTAAGGGTTGAGCTTCCGAGGCACATATAGCGCCGAAAGAGTGGCAAGGTGTGAAAGGGGGAGTTCCCCCTCCCATTCTGGAAAAAAAATTAAAAATCTACTGGGCCCTAGAAGCAATCTCTTGCATTCTGGGAACTCTTTTTAGTCTGATTACTATCAAATAAAACTCGACTTTTTAATTGAATAATATATGAATTTTGTACTTCAATACATCTCTGACATAACATAGCAGTACTATTTAATCAGACCAAAATCTTCAAGAAGATTTTTTCAATTATATTTTCCTTTTTATGATTAATATGGACGGTCTATATAAATCATAAAAATTAAATTAATACAAATATCCGATTAAAAAAAAGTCTACTTGAAATTTTTTGTGTTTATTTGAGCATACAAGCATAAATGTCTGCTATGCCACTGGCCATGTAGTATATATATGTCTTTGCTCCCATAATAAGACCCCCTACACGCTACCATGTCCAAGACATTAAGATTAATATAAGCACAGTATCACAGATACTTATAAGTTTGGTATGAAAAATGATAAAAACTTTTCTGTTATTGTTTTAGGTATAGGAAGTCTGATTTTAATACTTTCTGTGTGTATTTTTCTCCATTTTTTTTTCATAATAATGTGACAGGTTTTAATTGTACAAAGGGTTGCAGCCGCCTCCTAGCATCTCACCTGGTTGAGTGGCGTACTGGGAATCTGGGGGTCACTGGTTCGATCCTAGGTGGAAGCTAGCACACTAGCACACTACTCTCTTTCCTGTTGCAATAAATTTCAGGCTCATATTCATATTAAAACTTTCTGAAGGTCACAGGTGGTATATATAACATGCAGAAAATCATTTTTATATCTGCCTTCCTTTTAGAATCTGAACCTTCAAAATCATCTCAATAAAATAAAAATAAAGTACATTTTCTATGTCTAGATTAATGAAACATACTGGGTTGCCACTACCTAATATAACTCTTTCACCCCTATGTACCTTTAGTCAACTCTACCATGTATTGATCTGGATGAGTCCATTGTGGTCTACAGTGGTGAAAGGGATAAGTATCTGCATTAAAAATTACAAACCACAGGTACATACCATAAATAATACATACAGCTTAACCCTTTCACCCCTGTGTAACTTTAGTTGACTCTACTGTGCATTGATCAGGAGGAGTCCATAAGGGTCTGCAGGGGGTAAAGGGTACAACTGCATCACAAATTAAAGTACTAGAAGAGCTACACTCTAGAGTTATGTTTATTATACTCTCTTATACTTTGTACAGAATATGAAGAAACAAATCTGAGTTTGGCTTAGAGTTACCTCCCTTATCGCTTATATGATCTCAAGATGTGATCATTAGGGCATATTTCTGTAGAAAAGAACTTCAACGTTTTATTACGGTGTTATTAGTAATACCACAGACTCAGATAGTCAAATCTAATTCTGTAGTAATACATCTTAACCTGATGGTACATGTACTATTTATTCCTTGTGACAAGCCCTGAACACCTTGGCCCGGGACAACATGTAAAACGATACCAAAATACAACATAACAATGTACAATTTTTTGCAATTTTATTATGATTTTTTTGGCCATTTTTTTCTATTTTGGAAGAAATTAAACATGAAAATTTTCTTCCATCATGACAGAAGAAAACATTGGATAATTCATGTATTGCAAGTGTCCCTTTGTTCTAGAGACATTGTGCTAACAGTTAAAAGGCAGTGTAATGCTGTGGGAGAGAGAAGCACCAGTAATTATGATATGCTAGCATAAATTGTTAAAGTCATTTTCTCCAGCCATATTGACAAAAAAACTCAGATACACATCAATATACAGTATCTTGTTATGATGAATTAACACCCTTCTCTTTGGTTGCTTGCAAATGGCAGTGACTTCAAGTTGAACACGTTTCTAAATGTTTGTGATTCATATTTTTTACCGTAACGTAACCGTGAGATTCTTTTGATGTACATCAGAGGGTCAAACTAGTCTCCTTGTCTCATCCAAAAGGTGGCGCACACTGAGCCTTCGATTTAGCTATGCCATATTCCAGGGGTACAGAGAGGGACAGTGAGATGGAGGCCACATCAGTAGAAGATTGAGTTTTAATTAGACTGTCTTTGATCTGTTGATCTTGAGTCAATTTTTAACTGTTGAGGGAACTTGGTCTTACTAAAATCAATTTTGTTGGGATTTTCATATTCACAAGAATTTATAATTTGCAGAATGTATTCAGTCAGCAAATTATCTAAACAGTATGTAATTTTGGTCTCGTAATTTGAATAAGCATAAAGCAGGCTTATAATAGTTCAAAGTTTGTAAGCGATGGTTGGTTTGACAAAAATCTCAAAACTATGATATCCATATTGTATATGATTAAGTTTGATAACATTCTGTCAACAACTTATTATAAATCCTATAGAAATTATTAGAAATTATATAGATCCTTCCTATGACATAATATATCGGGATACGTATCGCAATATACTCATTCTGTATTGCAATATATCATGATACACTCTTGGCGTATTGTGTATATTTTTAACCATACATACAATGATGTGGCAAGAACTTTTTCATTTTTTTGTATGAAACACCAGCAAAACAAGATGGTGATGGTAAGATAAACGAGGAACAAGCAATATTGGGACGGATGTCTAGGTATTTACTGAATCAATCTCATAGGCAGTGATGGAGATGATAATGTTAAAATGGTTTGTTCACTGTGTCGCGGGTTTGAGGTGTGACTAGGACCACTAGCCCTCCTACACTGGGTCGCGGGTTCGAGGTGTGACTAGGATCCCACCCTCCTACACTGGGTCGCAGGTTCAAGGTCTGACTAGGATCACTGGCCCTCCTACACTGGGTCGCGGGTTCAAGGTGTGACTATGATCACTAGCCCTCCTACACAAGGTGTGACTAGGATCACTAGCCCTCCTACACTGGGTCGCGGGTTCAAGGTGTGACTAGGATCACTAGCCCTCTTACACAATGTGTGACTAGCATCACTAGCCCTCTTACACAATGTGTGACTAGGATCCCACCCTCCTACACTGGGTCGCAGGTTCAAGGTCTGACTAGGATCACTGGCCCTCCTACACTGGGTAGCGGGTTCAAGGTGTGACTATGATCACTAGCCCTCCTACACAATGTGTGACTAGGATTACTAGCCCTTCTATACTGGGTCGCGGGTTCAAGGTGTGACTAGGATTACTAGCCCTCCTATACTGGGTCGCGGGTTCAAGGTGTGACTAGGATCACTAGCCCTCCTACACAATGTGTGACTAGGATTACTAGCCCTCCTACACTGGGTCGCGGGTTCAAGGTGTGACTAGGATCACTAGCCCTTCTACACAATGTGTGACTAGGATTACTAGCCCTCCTATACTGGGTCGCGGGTTCAAGGTGTGACTAGGATCACTAGCCCTCCTACACAATGTGTGACTAGGATTAGTAGCCCTCCTACACTGGGTCGCGGGTTCAAGGTGTGACTGGGATCGCTAGCCCTCTTACACAATGTGTGACTAGGATCACTAGCCCTCCTACACTGGGTGGCGGGTTCGAGGTGTGACTAGGATCACTAGCCCTCCTACACTGGGTCGCGGGTTCGAGGTGTGACTAGGATCACTAGCCCTCCTACACTGGGTTGCGGGATTTGAGGCCTATGTTGCCAGGTACTGGCTGCATGTCAGTGATTTTCCCTCCACCACCAAAACCTAAAATTATGACAATAGCTGTTAAATAGGATGTAAAACACAAACATACAGAAAGACATACCATAGATTAGGGAAAGAACAAAAGTCAAACAAACACGTGGTAACATGATCCAGACACGAATTTCCCAGTGATTTATAAAATAAATTGAGCACATATCAGTCGATGTTTCATTAATCTAGAAAATGAATTATTGCAGACATTTTTTCGGACAGTCATAGTGCCACCATATATGTGTATCTGTGAAAGCCCTTGTTGTGTAACTGATACATAATAATGTACATAAATACGATGACACGTTCCCCTGTTGTTTGAAGACATTTGATACAGTTAGTAAAACTGGCTAAATCTGGCACCAATGCTCACTTAACCACAAATACACAAAATCTGCGAGACCTTGGGCCCGATCGGTTATGTGGACCAACCTGTTGTGTGTTTTTGAATGTAACATTTTCAAGTATAAATACTTGCGTACCTGCAAATGTTTATGCAGGCCATGCAAGGCTTTGTCAAGGCTTGCCTGAAAACAGCATCGGATAACTAGGTCCAACTTTATTTTATAAATGAACCACTCTGGTCCAACTGTTTAGATGGTGATAAACGAAGACATCCCTTTAATTATTTTATGATTTTTTTTCTCTCCTTAATTTCATTTCTTGAACTCCCTAACCCCCAAACCTTAAATCAAACTGAGAATCCCCTGTGAGCCTATCTAAATCTAACACAGATAAATACTGTAAGACAATGTGGGTTTTTTTTGATAAATTTACACATTTTTTCATAACTTCTCCACTATAAATCCCTAAATCCCTAACTCTTAATCCAATTGAGAATTCTGTGTGTGCCTGTACCTGGATCTAACACAGGTAATTCAACATCGGCTCTTTCTCAAGTTCTATAAATCTATCATGCTGCTTTCCTTGACGCTATAAGAGAACAATATGATGCTACTTTTAAAAGGGTCATCTTTAATGTGGAGACATCTTACACAAGTTTGAACTATCTTCTTAAATAGAGGTTCCCCAACAAGTATTCTGTACATTTTGATAATTCCCTAATTCGATCTCAAAATCGATAAAACTACGGAAAAGTATGAACTAAGGAAAGACTTGTAAGGAGACAAGGAGAATTAGGTCAAGTTTAGTTATAGACATTCAGAGACTTCCCTTCCATCCTTCCTAAATTTTCCACTATCAGGGGAATGACATTTTGCACTTCGTTGATAAAACCCCCTAAAATGTTTTATGATATGCCCTATACATCATTCTATATATACTTAGTGTGATAGGTTCTCTGGCCCCTGTGACCGGGCTAACTTGGGGTACCTATATTATCCAAACATATCCACAAAGATAATTTCACAGAACCCCTTGACCGGAATAATAAGAGGTACGTATTATCGTGACAAAGAAAATATAAAACTAGCAATTTAGTCTTAAATATCACAGTATCATGATAACACTTTTAATAATGTTTCGGTTAAAGGGACACAACTCAAGTACAAATCACATCATGCACTGTTAGTTACATACGATATCAAGATCTGTCGTTTTGGTATAACGCCAGGAATCTGGGACATTATACTGTCTGTCAGTCAAGTCACATGATATACCCGTAACAAGGAAGTGTACAGCTAAAGTCGTACCGACACAGTAACAAATCGTGGCAGTTTACAGATTGTGGGCAAACTATTCCATCTAACTCACTAATGCACCAACACCATGGCAAGTAACAGATCTGTGCGGCGTGCCCAGGAACCCGTTACCTATACATGTGCCTTGTGCAACAGTAGGGACGAGGTAAGATGGTATTGTAACGACTGTCAGGAGAATTTATGTGACCGTATAAGGAAGCCCATACACGCGGAAAGAAAACAAAATACGATGACGTCGTATCGATAGGGGAGGCTAACAGTCAGGGGGACAAGCCTGTACCAGAGGTATGTAAACTACCCCCCGGTAAACTGTGCGATCTCTTCTGTTCGGACATTTTTCTACGTGTTCAGATTTTATCTGGAAATATCTATTGCTGTGACTATGAATTTTTTATTTATTTATATTTTTTTTCATTCCACACCCGAGGCTCACTTTGCTGATATTTACTTTTTTTTCATGGGGAAAACCACACGTTGAAATGTGTTCAACAGTGTAAAATGTCATACAGGTAGCTTACACTGATATAGGGAATTAATCAAATTTTAACAACAAGCATGATGAAGAGAAACCCAACATTTTCAAAATTAAAAAAGTCAAAAATGGGGGCGATAAAATACCTCACCCCTTAACTCTGACCTTCACCCTCAATCACACAGAGAATACTGGCAAATTGTTCTGCATCCAACACTTATCCAACACACAGTCCTAGTGAAACAGTTTGTTATTGACCAAGGGAGGTAATCCAATATCAGCTACTTCTCAAGATCAAATTCATGTTATATGAAAGTTTTACTTTATACACGAGCAAGATGGACCGGTCATTTTGTAAAGCTTGACAAAGGGACCAGTCGGTCTTGAAACATTGCAACACGTTTAATATGTACATTGTTTGTGTATAAAGTAAAACTTTGAAATTATATATTTCCAAACTGATGATCTTATTGAAGATATTCAAATTAATGTTGATTAATAATGTTAGCACGGTCCTTTCTCAGACAACACTATAACAGATCAGTTATGAGGGAGAGCATCATCAGGGATAAAGTTCATGTTAATTTGAATGTCAGGCAGGGTACAATCCTGCAGGACATGACATCACAAAGGAATAGTGTCTTGTGGTGAGCTATCCTGCACTGTTTTGGTTTTGATGTTGTTTGTTTATAAAATAGGGATGGACCCAGTGATCTGGGCCAGTATTCATGAAACCATGCTCATGCTCCAACTCAGTTCAAGCCCAATTTCTTGTTTCAGTAATAAATAAATAAAAATTCAATTTTTGTCAAATATATGGAAGAATTGTGGGGAGACTCAAAACCATATACTGTTTTCAATATTTCCTCAGGACTTTAGTACTGTGTCGCATGATTTAGACGAGTCACAAGAAAGTTTATTTGAGTAAAACCTCCATGCTGGAGCCGGGAATCGTTCTATTAGCATGGGCCCAGAGGATGTTTTCTGGCGAGCCTTGACAAAGACATGGGCCCAGAGGATGCTTTCGGGCGAGCCTTGACAAAGACATGGGCCCAAATTTATCCCTAAAATTTTACATTTAAAATTTGACGAAATCATGTATGCATAAATAAACAGGCCACTGGAGTCAAGCTAAACCTCCCGAAGTTGAATTTGTAAAGTTATCCAACCAGGATCGTACAAACTAACATGAGATGTACTGATTGTCTAAAATAAACATAAAAAACATCGTTACAGAATATCCATGAAACATCATTTAAAAGTTGAAAGTTCATGTTTTCAAATACAAATTTTGTCACAATGACACAATATATTTAAAATTAACCGTCAAGTGCAAAAAAATGTAACTTTAGTAGACTCTACCATGCATTGATCTGGATGAGTCCTTTATGGTTTACAGTGGTGAAAGGGTTAAAGAAGGGTTCCTCAGATTTTTTGGTAAATTTACTTATTTATTGTACCATTGCACAATGACGAGTTCCACTCCGAGGTTTATTGACTAGGAGTAACCTCCCTTATATACAGAAGATGAAGCTTGTCTGGTAAGTAATTTCCACTGTAAAGTTATGCAGGTATTTAGTTTGATCCCTGCTGTTGTTAGTCTTGTATTGAATACATCTTCAAATAGTAGATTGACTTTATCAATATATTTTTTACCCTTGAAAATAAAATGGGATATTTGCTGTTTTACAGTACATCGATCACAATCAAAAATATTTTTCACCTACTTGCCAACTTTTTGAAAATTCTAAGGGGGAGATTCTTCATTCTCAAAATTAAAACAAAAATAAGGTGTGTGTATAATTATGTACCCTCAAGAGAAAAAAGAACCCTTTGAAATTACATATTTTGAGTTGTTATTTCAGATGAAATGTTTAGCAAATTTACTGGTTGAAAATGCTAAATATAGGGGTCCAAAATTGGGAGTCTCCCTCCTAAATAGGGAGAGTTGGCAAGTATGACTGAGTTGACCGCGAGGTGTGTTAAAATGTTTGAAATTCAGTATATAACTGTATGTGAAATAGAATCAAAATAACAGCAGTTTGAGATACACATCAAAGTTGTAGCCATTGTTATAAAAATAATAACATTTTCTATTATAGTACCTTTTTTAGTAATGGCTTGTCAGTAAAACAAGGTGACAAAGATCACAGACTTGACTGGAGTATCAAGGAATGTTACCTGTACCCTTAAACTCATTCACCCCTATATATTTAAACTGGACTTGCCCAGTCTATGATTTGGTAAGGTTCAAATGTGACTTTAGGGGTGAATGGGTTACAAAAATCTATCTTTAAACTTTCAATACCAGTTTCTTCTAAATCACACCTTGACACACATTTCCCCCTAAACAAATAAATGTTCTTTTCATTTGTTGCCGTCTCCTGACCTCCCCACAGACAGAGAATGGAATAGACTGTCGTGGATGCTGCCGTACATTATGGTTCAATCCAAGTAGATCTTGAAGGTGTGTGAGGTTGGTCTAATTCTAATTCTCTGACGGAGACATCAGGTAGGCAATGGCTGTCCTAGCACTTGTTCATTATCTAGATTGACCCGACTTGTCATGTAGGAAACTTCTGTAGGTATCGTAACCGATAGCGACAATGCCGATTTTTCTGCGTCATATGACCATTCCTGCTAAGACATCTGCCATTGCGTCACAATAAAAACGTGTAATATCATTTGGCATCGTCTTCCAGTTCCGAGCGTAACATTCAACAAGTTCCAGTAATGTACATCGCCCTCTAGCTGATAACCTGAAAATTTAAAAGCAAAGAAAGTTGACAGGTTTTGTAGTGGTAAGGCCATACAGTGGTACAAACATGTGTTCAAAGTTTGCTGCTGACAAAAGGGAAGAATAAATACAGGTTGTTCTCATTCTTAAACTTTATTTTTGTTAATTTGATCAAATTCATGTCTTTATTAGTCACTCCTTATAATTACTGATACATAACTTATTGCCTTCAATTTTATCATATTTTTGATACAGGCAGATTCAGACTGTATTCCCGTGACTATAGTGACAATAATGTGACTGTTATACAGTATACGAGCGGGGGAACCTTGATATTATCACAAGCTGTAGAATCTGAGGTAAATCTGTCATCACCTCATCAAATTCATTTTCAACAAATATGATTCAGCTTATCGTACAAATGGGTTATGATTTATTCAAGCCTGTGTGATTTAGCATATTCCAAGTAGGTTATAATCTGACATGACTTCATTAGTTGGTCTTTTAGCAATTGTTTCCCCAAACAAAAACAGAAATTCTGTATTCCCAAAGAGAACCCTATTGGTTTCCAGGTATCATTAAATATGAATACTGTGGGAGAAAAACTCCCCCAATCTTGTGCTGGCTGGATTCTTTCTTTGACTCTCATTAATAGCTAATTTTCAAATTGTAACATTGCTAACCTTGTGACTTTACACAATTTGAAAAAAAAAACCCTCAAGGGAGATAAACATGACAGACAACCACCACATCATTAGGAATATCTACTGGGCCCCTTTCGCGTATCCGGTTCAATCAGTTGAAATGATTGAACCTGAAGGAAAAAGACAGGCTCAGATCTGAATCGTGGCTGACCTCAGGAATATTCGGCACGTGTAGATTGAGGGGTCCAAACTGAGATGTGACTGTCAGAAACTGAAATGCTGGCTATTGGTAGTTTGCACTATTTCTTCCTAAAACCATGTCAATCCAGATGCAGGTTTTAAGATACATTATATAATTCAGTGGACACGTGAAACAAGGACATGTTATTCTTGATATATTGTTGTTTATTCCCCCGAAACTGAACATTTTTTGGCTCTGCCTACAGTTCCATCCAAGTGAATTTGTTTATCGTGGAATATTTCGGCGCCACATGAACCGTTGAAACTGAATGCGACTCTGTATACTGGGAGATTTTTGCTCCAGTTTAATTTTTCGCCTTTTTTGCAACCTCTGTTTTGAGGGAGAATTTATCAAAAGGCGAAAACTTCCCAGTACCCAGTATTTCACTTGGCCTTACCCATCATGTATAACCCTCAGCCGGATCTTCTCCATAAGTGTGTTCATTCGGCTTTGGTTACCAGAATCAAGCTCCTTGCCAATCACTTGTAACTAAAAAAATAAATAAATGATTGTCACAAGTTTAAATCTCTGTAACACAGTCCAAGGTTTTGATTGCACATGATATCTCCATCACACACACTCAGACATACACATATAGGGAGATATTAGCCAGGTGGCATAGGACTAGTAGTTAACGCCTGATAAGGCAGCTCCTGCGAATTCCTCAAAATTGCATTGATTTATGTATATGCTAATTGTATTAATTATATATCTATGACAAGTTACTGCAATTTAAGTCATACAGTCAAATTTCCAGAGAGCTGACCAATATTTTATTTTTGATTTTAACATATTTTATTGCCAATATAAAGTTTCCAGGTAAACAGTATTAGCAAAAACATTGTTTGATGTGGCCTAGCTTACTTGTAGAGAAAACGCCTCCAGTTCATCGTCCTGACATTCCTTATCATCCACAGTCATTTCGAGACAATCAAAGATCGGGACAACCAACGGTTCTAAACACTGGCCTTGTTTTAGACGCATGTTACTGAAGATCTGACATAAAAAGGTGAAAAATCCCAAATATCTCTTCAAGTTGTTCTTCCTCGTTTCTTCTTTATCTGTCAAAATAGAAAATTAGATTTAATGATTCAAACGATTTATTAATAAAACACATAGAAAAGGAAGAACACCTGTATCTTCATTAAGATTCATCAGTTTTGTAATATGTAACATCAAAGTTTTACTTTTTACACAAACAATGTACGTATTAAAAGTGTCGCTTCGTTTCAAGACCGACTGGTCCCTTTGTCAAGCTATGACTGAGTGAAACATTTAATATGTACACTCCTTTGCAGTATTTTTTAGTTAATTTAACCTGTAATTAAGGACATCTTGCAGTGATAGTCAATGGTCTAGACCTTATGAAGGTCTTCTCTCAATACAGATTTGAGTTTAGCCGATAGTTTAGCAATATCAAAGTTTTACTTTATTCACAAACAATGTACGAACTAAACGTGTCACTCAGTCAAAGCGTGCGACACGTTTAATATGTACATTGTTTGTGTGTTATTCAGTCAAAGCTTGACAAAGAGACCATCAATCCTGAGACATTGCGACACGTTTAATATTTACATTGTTTGTGTATAAAGCAAAACTTTGATATTACAAACCACACTGTGTTCGGGCAACATTTATAACGGGCTGATCTCAAACTTCATATATTTTACAACAATTTTGATGTGCAACTTTTATCAACTTATATTTTTCACTCTTGTATGTTCAGATGGTGGCTAAATATAGAAGGCAAGGGGTAGTGTGAGAGGTAAACATATGACCGATAAAACACAGTCTCATATCCGGTGATAAGCCCACCCACTACTTTTAACACGTTTTCCTGCACAGACCCACTGGGCCTATCAGTGGTAAAATACGGTAGTATGCACAGAAACCCAACATGGTTATAAAGCACACCTCTTCATATCTGATCATAAAATCACACCTTGCCAATCTTGATGAAAGTCTTGCTTGTTATCAATGGTTTCACCTGCCCACGCAACAAAATTTTAACTTATTTTACCTCGAAATCATTCTGATTTCACCAAATTGATAAGCACACAGAGCAAATACAATATTGGTATTTCTACAAAGCAATATATTTTTTTGTTATATCTCCTAAGAAGGAGTTGTCTCCCCTTAGAAGGGGCTGTTTTATGTAGATCAAATATGCAAGCAGTCCCCTCCCCCGTCCCGGAGGTTTGCTAAAAATGTACTTAAATTCATACAAAGAATTTTTGGTATGACTGAAAAGCTCATTAGATGCAGTTCCCACCCCACACTAACACCGAGGTTTGCTTAAACTTTATGAAAAGATCTAATTTTCCACCTTTTGTTCTATTGGTAATATTAACTAAAATACATTTACACCAAGCATTGCAAGTTTTTGGTGTGACCTAAAGACAAGCTGACCAGATGAAGAAGCTTGGGTTACCTTTGAAATCCTTTTGTACTAGAGCCAACAAATTTGTCCTAAACTTTGAACCCTGAACTTCGACATCCTGCATCCTGTCACAGATACAGGCCCCACATTTAGCAAATTCCATGTCCTTCAGGCACTTCTGATAGATCATCTCGGCGATGTGTCTGAGGTCATCGGAACTCTTCACAGTTTTTTCTGTTTTCTGATGAATTTCCATCAAATCCTCCTCCTCGATGTTCAGCGTAAGGTTGTTTATCATTATGTCCAGGTCATCAAGGCTATTCTCATTCTGACCAAGAAAACCACAAAAAAAACCAGTAGAGAAATTGAAGATAGAATCATATATACAGTGCAGTGTAAATAAAAGGTGAAGTTTACCATTAGGTAGTATTTATACAACTAAGAGTATAGGCTCTCACGTATTGAAAAGATATCAATTAAATACTTTGATTTCAATGATGAACTGATTCTATCGATGATGGTATTTGTAATTGATAATCAGAATCAGAAAGGGCAAACTGATCAATTTTGAATTATAATCGATTATCAGCCCATCACTACAATAAGCGATGATCTATTATCACAGTTGTCACACTTACAACAATATTTGTAAAAATAAGCAAAAAAATCGCTCTAATACTTTTACAGATTTCACACATATCTTGTATTTCTATGGGTAACAAAATTAATCACTTTCTTCAGACCCAAGTTTTGAAAAAAGCTAGTAGTGGTATCATCATTATTAGCATTGGACTATATATATGTAACAGAACTAGACTGGGTCGATCATCAATGTGGCTCAATTGGTAGAGCCTCCACCTAGAGTTCGGAGGGTAGCGGGTTCAATCTAGCATACATTTCTCTTTCTCCTGTTACAAAATTGGCTGACTTGCCAATCCTTGTTTCAAGCTCTGGGTGACTATTTGGCAAGGGGATACCTTAATAAGGGTTGTATATTGAGATAACTTAGAAAAATGAGGGAGGAACGCAGCGGAGCAGGACTGTGCTGATCATCAGCAACCAGATAGCTCAACTGGTGGAGAGTCCGTCTGGAGCTATGGGCTTTGGCCCCACACCAGCCATCTGTCAGTCAAAATGTCTAAGTCTGGTGACAGGGCCAGAGGAAACGCGGGCTTAACAATGATATGAAATAGAATCATCCTCTACCTTGAGAGTGTAACAGAAATCCCTTGCAGTGATTATTTGATTGTCTAATATAACCCCTGGTAGATGAAGCCTTAGGTAAGTCAGCCAACATTATCACCCCTGGGTTAAAATTTGGTCTGTCACACCCTTAACATATGGGAAGATCGGTAAGTCAATGTGGGGTGAAATAAAATTTATTTTTGGACAACATAAAAACAACTGTCATGGAATGCTTTTGACGTAACAGTTTCAGGACAAATTGTCTGTCACTCAGTATATTACAAATGTAGCTTATACTCTATCTCAGTCAATGAATGGAATTATTCCATTTTTGTACACAGTGCGTATACACCTAGTCTCCCTAATGAATTTGAAAGAGGCAATCACACTGGAAAGGATACAATTGTGTTTTTTCTTATTTTTTCCTCCCACATATATCACTCCTTGACAATTATAAGGTAGCAATGCACATACACCTAATCACTTTCAATGTATTTATCCAGATCAAGACTGCGATTTGAGATGATTTTTTTCCATGGCTAGTCTACAGTTTGGGGAAAACCACCAACTTGCGTATATACGCAAACTCGCCTATTATACGCCAGTTGGAGTATGGATTTGTTATTAAAAATAACCCAAATCGATTTAACAGTAACCTTTGCAAGATATTATTAAAAATCGCATTAATTTACGACAAGGTAAATAATATTTTGCTAAAAGATGTTTACTGAAAGCGTTGGCTACTTATGTTTTTAGTACTTTCCAACCAACATGCAAATAAAGTTTATTTTTGCATTTGTATTATGTTTCATGACTGAATAAATGCGACTTGGACAAACAATGTGAAAAAATTAAGATTAAAGTGATTTTGGCTATTTTTAGTAACAAATCCATCCCCCTATTGGCGTATAATAGGCGAGTTTGCGTATTATACGCAAGTTAGTGGTTTCCCCCGACCTGGTCTAGGCGTTGGTGTTCCAGTCCCAACTTCCAGTAACTCTCAAGTAAGAGGATGTATTCAACCTTAAATACACACATCATGCCCTTCTCTCTTATATCAATATCAGAGAACAAAGCATTGCGATTAAATTGTGGTCGATTGCCGTCCGCACCTGACGCTACGCATGTTACGCCTGTTTTGAACAGGTGCGATCGTCCATCGCACTAGGTGATTGAGGAGAAAATGCGTGTTTATTTGCAACACGCCACTTTTTACATGTAACATTTCACAAAATATGAAGAATTCTTATTGTGATCGCAATTGTTACCGCCGATTCCTTCTGTTGTCCAGGAACGACCGGCGCCTGTTGTAAAAGGCCTCGTCCCCTACCTCTGCCTCGACCGGTGGACGCCATTTTCTTTTTCGGAAAACTTTCGGAACCAGTCGGAACTCCTTGCACGTTTTCATAGGTTTTCACATAGATTGTGAGGGGTAAAGTGTGCACCTAACCCAAACTTGCTCTTATGCCATAAGTATCATCTTTACACCAATTATACTTGAATCCGTCTTAACATTCGGACTGACCGAGATATGCAGGAACATCTTAAGTCTGTTGGCTTGGGCCAAATATTACCATGGTCAAGGTATTTGGCCAGTATGATATGCATGGGATGGAGTGCTATAAACTTTCCTCATTTATGTGACCTTGACCTGCTTTAAATGTCACTGGGACAAGCATAATTGAAAAAGAAAAAGAAAAAACGCGTTCAAACAACATTATTTTACATCTGGTGCTACTGTACTAACATTTGCTTGGAAAGCGGATAGTTTTTAAATGGAACATTATGGTGTGGTGACGTCAATAATTGTTGTTATGACGTTACACTGGATTGTTATTTTCTATAGGGATTTATTATTATACGAAGAAAAAAGTCACAGACAAAGACAATTTTTTTTAAACATTTTCAAAACACTTTATAATTCAAACACGCTCATTCAAGGTAATAAATCATTTTAAGGGGATGGGGTCCAAATTTATTTTGACCATCTGATGTTGTTTGTGAAATAAAATTTGGTTTTTAATTGCGTGTTAATTCTTTTTTAAATAAAGAAAATTGTGGAGAAACAATCTTGTGTTAGATTATGATTTATGCAGTCAGCAATACCACCACGACACTGAGACATATAGGTAGTATATAAGGTCAGACATATAGGTAGTATATAAGGTCAGACATATAGGTAGTATATAAGGTCAGACATATAGGTAGTATATAAGGTCAGACATATAGGTAGTATATAAGGTCAGACATATAGGTAGTATATAAGGTCAGACATATAGGTAGTATATAAGGTCAGACATATAGGTAGTATATAAGGTCAGACATATAGGTAGTATATAAGGTCAGACATATAGGTAGTATATAAGGTCAGACATATAGGTAGTATATAAGGTCAGACATATAGGTAGTATATAAGGTCAGACATATAGGTAGTATATAAGGTCAGACATATAGGTAGTATATAAGGTCAGACATATAGGTAGTATATAAGGTCAGACATATAGGTAGTATATAAGGTCAGACGGTCAAGGCAGGAACTACATATGCGACTCAATCATAGGGCTTATCATTGGAGATGTCGCACCGACTGAGGAACTGAGAATCGGTACAATACATCTAATGAAGAGAAAGATAAAGTCAGATCGTCAGACAGAAGTTTCCTTTCGCAGAAAAAATAATTAAGAGAATACCGAAGTGCCAATACAAATGAAGGTAACACAGGTGATTACACCTTTAACGTTTAGAAATAACGGTTAGATACAATGAATTGCACTGCATCATACATCTGTTTCTTCTAGGACTCATCGGTGATGGTTCTTAGTTCTTTTAAATCATTAATTTTCTATTGTCATTAATTAACTGAATGAGTAATAGATAGTTTTTTAAAAATTGCAGATTGTGAATGTTTATCAAATTATGAATTTAGGGTCAAGGACACAATGAAACTCTACAATATGAGTGAAGTAGTTGTATTTTATATAAGACTAATGTTGTAAATAACAAAACTTCATAAAACTGGAAAATCAGTAAATGTTTTAATCTTGAATATGATCGCAAATAAAACTTTCTCCATTTTTTAAAACTTTAATATACGAACGCATCAAGTACCTGATACAGATCGAGTGAGTATATACCGATAAAATATATAAAACTAACAGTTTATGTAATTCTGTTACAGATATATAGAATCACGGAATTAGTTTGCTATCTAAGTCCGTGATAGAATACAGAAATTTAGAAAACTGTGAACATATTAGTATATTGAACGACTTGAAAAGAAAATGTCTTGAATCTCCAGATATAAAGTAAGTGATCTGAGTGATCAGGCCCTGGTATCGTGAATCGATCTACCAGGTAAATATTTATAGGTAAGTGATCTGAGTCACCAGACCCTGGTATCGTGGATCTATCTACCAGGTAAATATGTATAGGTAAGTGATCTGAGTGACCAGGCCCTGGTATCGAGGATCTATCTACCAGGTAAATATGTATAGGTAAGTGATCTGAGTCACCAGGCCCTGGTATCGTGGTTCTATCTACCAGGTAAATATTTATAGGTAAGTGATCTGAGTGACCCGGCCCTGGTATCGTGGATCTATCTACCAGGGAAATATGTATAGGTAAGTGATCTAATTGACCATGCGCTGGTATCGAGGACCTCTATAGTGACCAGGCCCTGGTATCGTGGAGCTATATACCAGGTATTTATAGGTAAGTGATCTGAGTGTCCAGACCCTGGTATCGTGGATCTATCTACCAGGTGAATATGTATAGGTAAGTGATCTTAGTGACCAGGCCCTGGTATCGAGGATCTATCTACCAGGTAAATATGTATATGTAAGTGATCTGAGTGACCAGGCCCTGGTATCGAGGATCTATCTACCAGGTAACTATGTATAGGTAAGTGATCTGAGTGACCAGGCCCTGGTATCGTGGATCTGTCTACCAGGTAAATATTTATAGGTAAGTGATCTGAGTGACCAGGCCCAGGTATCGTGGATCTGTCTACCAGGTAAATATGTATGGGTAAGTGATCTAAGTGACCAGGCCCTGGTATCGTGGATCTATATACCAGGTATTTATAGGTAAGTGATCTGAGTGACCAGGCCCTGGCATCGTGATCTATATACCAGGTAAATATGTATAGGTAAGTTATCTAAGTGACCAGGCCCTGGTATCGTGGATCTATATACCAGGTATTTATAGGTAAGTGATCTGAGTGACCAGGCCCTGGTATCGAGGATCTATCTACCAGGTAAATATGTATAGGTACATTTAAGTGATCTGAGTGACCAGGCCCTGGTATCGTGGATATGTCTACCAGGTATTTATAGGTAAGTGATCTGAGTGACCAGGCCCTGGTATCGTGGATCTATCTACCAGGTAAATATTTATAGGTAAGTGATCTGAGTGACCAGACCCTGGTATCGTGGATCTATATACCAGGTAAATATGTATAGGTAAGTGATCTGAGTGACCAGGCCCTGGTATTGTGGATCTGTCTACCAGGTAAATATTTATAGGTAAGTGATCTGAGTGACCAGACCCTGGTATCGTGGATCTATATACCAGGTAAATATTTATAGGTATAAGTGATCTGAGTGACCAGGCCCTGGTATCGTGGATCTATATACCAGGTAAATATGTATAGGTAAGTTATCTGAGTGACCAGGCCCTGGTATCGTGGATCTATATACCAGGTATTTATAGGTAAGTGATCTGAGTGACCAGGCCCTGGTATCGTGGATCTATCTACCAGGTAAATAAGTATAGGTACATTTAAGTGATCTGAGTGACCAGGCCCTGGTATCGATGATCTGTCTACCAGGTAAATATGTATGGGTAAATTATCTGAGTGACCAAGCCCTGGTTTCGTTGATCTATATACCAGGTAAATATTTATAGGTATAAGTGATCTGAGTGACAAGGCCCTGGTATCGTGGATCTATCTACCAGGTAAATATTTATAGGTAAGTGATCTGAGTGGCCAGACCCTGGTATCGTGGATCTATCTACCAGGTAAATATTTATAGGTAAGTGATCTGAGTGACCAGACCCTGGTATCGCGGATCTATCTACCAGGTAAATATTTATAGGTAAGTGATCTGGGTGACCAGACCCTGGTATCGTGGATCTATCTACCAGGTAAATATGTATAGGTAAGTGATCTGAGTGACAAGGCCCTGGTATCGAGGATCTGTCTACCAGGTAAATATGTATGGGTAAATTATCTGAGTGACCAAGCCCTGGTTTCGTTGATCTATATACCAGGTAATTATTTATAGGTATAAGTGATCTGAGTGACAAGGCCCTGGTATCGTGGATCTATCTACCATGTAAATATGTATAGGTAAGTGATCTAATTGACCAGGCCCTGGTATCGAGGACCTCTATACCAGGTAAATATTTATGTAAATTTGAATTTTGTCTTCTTGTTTAGCTCCCCATCACAATTTTAAATTAAAAACAAACCACAGCATACACATTACTGCACATATTATAAATACGTTTTTCTCTAGTAAGTTCAAAAAATATATTAGCAATTGAGAATTTGTTCCTAAACGGTTTCCTGAACAAGGAGACGAAGACGACGCTTATACTTTACTTGGGTAAATAATAGTTAACGATACTGCTTTACTTGGGTAAATGATAGTTAACGATAATACTTTACTTAGGTAAATAATAGTTAACAATTGTGCTTTACTTGGGTAAATAATAGTTAACAATAATGCTTTACTTGGGTAAATAATAGTAACTATCAATCTTGTTTTTCATAACAATCTCCAATGTTGTGAACAACGTTCAGTCACAATGAGAATCTAAATGTGAGTTTTGACCCCAACATTTTCTCTTTGTATACTTGGTCAAACTTTTCACTGTCTGTAACTGTGAACCAGTTCTTCCAGTCCCCCACTTCTCCTGTAACATAGGAAAGGTTTATTGTGTGAATATACAGTTATAACCCGTGAAACAAAGAAACAATCTGGAACAGTCGGCACTTTCCGGAAGCATTCACGGAAAATACCGACGGTCCCACTTGCTAAAGAAACTGGTTGGAGTTGGGAAAATGATAGATGAACGTACTATACATTGTGTAAGATGTGGTCGAGTTGTCCATATATACATATAATACAACTACTTGTACGCTGACAGAGTAGCCGAATCGACATCGATTTGTGGACAACTCGTACACATTTTACACCTTTGTGTTCATGAAGGTGATAGTGTACATACCGTACTAGTCATCGAAACGTCAAATAGAAACACTTATAGGTTGTGTTAAAAGAATCTTTCATTATCCATACTTACCAACATGAAGAAAATGTTAAGAACAATCTCCTTGTATCTTTACAATGGTCTCCATGGTTACATAATTACTATGTTCCTTCCTTTACATTTTTGAGCTGGGTTTTTTTAATCTGAGTTCATCCTCACCTTTTCTATACAATATTTGAGATCCATCCCTAGCAAATGTTTTGAAGCGAGGGTCGGGGTTTTCCTGTTTGTCATGTTTGGTCTTTGAAAACGAACAGCTCTCTACAATTTTGTCCAGCAAATCTTCGTCGAATGACTTTCCGAGAAAAAAAGCCACTCTCTCAACTTCTTGTCGAAGATTCTAAACATGTTTTAAAATACATAAAATCAATTAACTCCATTAACAGGTGCGTCTTTACTCAATTAGTCACCATGTTTAGCAGTGAATTTGGAGCTTTAACCGTTTCACCACTGCAGACCAAAATGGACTCGTCTATATCAATGCATGGTAGAGTCTATTAAAGTTACATAGGGTTGAATGGGTTAATTTACTCTTGCATGGTTTACGTTTTTAAAGTACATTATGTGTAAGAGGCAAAAAAAACACCCCGTAAATTAAAGCGCTACAGAAGGCATATAAACCTTTCTGCTGTTGTTTTCGGCATATATCCAGAGGAAACACACGTGGTTGGACAGGTAACCAACTATACCTTTCACGTTTGTTTGGGGACTTCACCCCGATTGGTGAAAGGCGAGTTCACTATCCACTGCGTCATCCCACCACCTAGCTACGTTTGTTAACGGTATTTTGGAGTAGTGTACTTTCCAATGGCGACTGTTACGGATTTCTATATTTATGATAGTCGAGGCAATGCATATAGATATTTTGTACTTACTAATTTCATATTTTCATAGTTCATCATCATAAATGGCACATTTGGGTGTGTGTCTGGGAACTTTTCCCATCCAAGAACGCTACGGAACCAGGAATCATACACTACTGTGTGGAATAAACAACACAGAAAACATATCTTTTTCAATATCGGGAATTGTACAGAAGATTGACTATCTAAAGGCCGTAATTGATCCACATAAGGGGAGAGTATTCGAGATTCAGTACCAAATACGGTGGTATAGTCATTCCTGGTTATATCAAAGGAAGAATATATTCATTAAAACAATATTAGCACCTGGGGGTCATCCGGATGCTAATATTGTCTTTTTGTTTCCACCTGAACTACATTATTCATCTGCAGACAGAAATGATGAAATTTTGATTATTTTATGTAGATTATATTTTTACACGTTCACATATATCATCTATAGACTGATGCGTGGCTGTGCCTCCCATGTATACAACACTGCAACACATGGACGTGTACATTTGTTCAGAGTGATCCGTGTTCGACACGGACCCAGACCTTCCTAGTAGACTCCTGTTCTATATAATGACAAACACTTAAACGTTATATATCGAAAGAACTTAAACTTTGCAATAAAACACCCTTTATTCAAGAAACGCGCCCAAAATGAAAATTAGAATAAGCATTTTAAATATAATAAAATGAAGTAAATATGAATGATTTGATTTGTAATTCCTTGTTCTTTCCGGTAAACATTTTATTCATTGATTGATTCGACTTTAATAACCAAATGATTTGTTTCGACTACAACATACCATCTCCATTGAGAAATTTATCAATGTAGGAGTAATTGAACTCTCCGTCGAACGCCGTAGCAGCCATATTTGCAACGAAATTGTAGTGAGAAACAACGACATCCTTGGGGTTCCTCGTCATGTAAATGACCTTGACACGCCCTTGACTTAGTCGCCATGGTAACCATTTGATCGGTACGTGAGTAATGATTATCCTTGGCGACGGAGCGTTGTCAGTGGTGTCAATACTCTCGACGTCCAGCCAGCAGTGTTTTCGGCAATAAGAGGCGTGGCCTTGTAACAGCATGTACACAACCTCGTTAATCCAATGTGTACCTGTAACCATAGCAACCACTCAATTCAACTGTCTGGTAGTAAACAATTTAGCAGAAAACAGATCACGCAAATCACCAGGGAATGCATGTAAAGGGACATAATATGTGATCACGAAAATGTGAATTATCTGTTACCAATAACAACTGAGAATCTCAAGTCATTACATAGAAACCGACGTACGTTGGCTTAATTAATATAAACAATAAAAAATAGCAAAATGGAATACTCCGATCCTCTGATAAAATAAGTACGAATTAATCGATTAGTTAGGAATCAAAATATTACTGGTTTACATACATCGACAGGAGATGGTAACGATGGATTTAAAATTTACCTGACTTAGGGTACGACGTAATAAAGATGTCATCGTCCCTCAGTGTCATGTCCCGGATGTTACGTAGATGGTCAGCTACGTTATGCATCTGGACCGGGTAGTTAAATCCATCATACGGTTGCATTTTTAACTCATATTCGGGCTTTTCTTTTTCCTGACATCCAGACCGATCTTCTGTACCCTCTTTTCTGTTCATCCTGATAGAGAATAGGCCCTGATATTAACAAACAAAAACAAACAAAATACACAAACATTAAACAACAGTAAACCAAAAGAGGTTGAAAGATGAACGGAAACAGGGAATATTGAAAGATAACCTAATTTCAATTTTGTGGTAATTTCGCACTATTTTATTTTTTATTTTCTTACTGTATTTTTTTCTATTCATGAGCAATCTTAGACGACCTAAGTTACGAATAGTGTATGTACTGATAAAATCCATGAATAATGGCAAGGATGTCTTTTTCTAGCAACATTGTTTTGAGCAACATTGCGATAATTCATTGCCACAGAGGGTCACGATATTACTGTCTTTTTCGCCATATTCATTTCAGTGACGTCTAGAGACTGTACCCTTAGCCTACACCTGGCTAAATTATGCATCCGTCAACTGCTTAACAATGGGACACACACCCCTATCTTAACAATGGGACACACACTCCTATCTTAACAATGGGACACATACCCCTATCTTAACAATGGGACACACACCCCTATCTTAACAAAGGGACACACACCCCTATCTTAACAATAGGACACACACCCCTATCTTAACAATGGGACACATACCCCTATCGTAACAATGGGACACACACCCCTATCTTAACACTGGGTCACACACCCCTATCTTAACAAAGGGACACACACCCCTATCTTAACAATAGGACACACACCCCTATCTTAACAATGGGACATACACCCCTATCTTAACAATGGGACACACACCCCTATCTTAACACTGGGTCACACACCCCTATCTTAACAAAGGGACACACACCCCTATCTTAACAATAGGACACACACCCCTATCTTAACAATGGGACATACACCCCTATCTTAACAATGGGACACCCACCCCTATCTTAACAATGGGACACACACCCCTATCTTAACAATGGAACACACACCCCTATCTTAACAAAGGGACACACACCCCTATCTTAACAATGGAACACACACCCCTATCTTAACAATGGGACACACACCCCTATCTTAACAATGGGACACACACCCCTATCTCCAAGTGATCAATAGCCTACATCTTGCTGAAACATTCATCCGTCGGCTGCTGAATCATGGGACACATATCTTTATCGTTAAATCATGCATGTGCATATAGATCATACAATGAATATTCATAAGAACAAAGGTAACTGCCTACATCATGCTAAAGCGTGTACGGTCAACAGTTGAACATTACCGACATTAACAACACCCCTTATGTCTGAGGATGTTTGATAAAGTATACAACAAACATCGTTACCTTTATGAAGTTAAATTCAATTCCTTTCTGACTTTCATACGAGGCTTGACTTGCTTTGAGTTGGTATTCCAAGATAATACTGTCTTGGAGATTTGCGCATTTGTTCTGCCGTCGCTGCTTAATAATTCACTTGATTGTGTTGGTCTAAATATAGAATGGTTCCATTTTTTTATTTCTTGTTTTGCCAAGTAAAATTTCCTATTCCGATTTATGATGTGTCGTACTACAAACTATAAGCATGTTGTAGACAAATAGCATTGAGTAGATTTTATCAACATCGTTTCTCCTACAACGTTCAGATATTATATTTAGTTATTAGCTATAAACATAGGGGTTCTCCAATGAGTAAAGGCTAGTTATTACATTGATCTTACACGGTTTAGTTAATTTTCAGATATTCAGAGGTTAAAATATCGTGTAGTACCGGATAGCAGGATACAGGGATGATATTTTTGTGATTTTTGAGTAAAACTATTCATTTACATTAAGAGTAAAACAGGTATTAATTACACACCTGTTAGTTTTGTTGACTATATGTTTTGTTATTTATTTATCATTAATTATTACTAATCATGTTTTTCATGTTTACCAGAATATCATACTTACATTACATTATAGTCGTATCTAGCGCTATATAAGACATTATTTACCTTGCTCTTACGACCAGAACACTTACTCCCCTTAATGACGTAACAGCCAAATTAATATAAAATATATGGTGCCTATAGATAACATTTAAATCGATAGTATGGATAGAAAGGAAATAAGTATCAACATATCTAAATACACTAATATGTAGTAACGGGTACTCACTGTGAATACGAATTCAATAATCTGTATATAATATCCAACACTACTCCAAATCGTCCAAATTCTACTTTAAAGAAATGTGATATATTTTACACGTAGTGACATCCAACACACGGCTAATGCAGTCGAAATGAAATTATTAGGATTTATACATAAATATTGCGTCGCGGTAAAAGAAACCTTTCATTCTTATACTAATAATTTTTTTAAGAGTAATATATGATAATAAATTCTCGTGGATTTTGATCTATCGATGCAACATTGGATTGCATAGATCAAAATGATAAAAGTATAGCAGACACTAAATGTTATATGTACATAAATGTATTTATTCACAAACATGGGAGTGCACACCTGTGTATTTGCATACCAATTGGGTCTTTTTAAGAGTGATATATGATAATAAATTCTCGTGGATTTTGATTTATTGATGCAATATTGGATGGAATAGATTAGACTGATTTAAATATAGCACACACTAAATGTTATATATACATAAATGGGTTATGTTTATGTACTTATTCACAAACATGAACTTATGTGAACCAGTCTATTCCTCTTACTTCTAAAAGGGCGTTATCCTCCTCGTCAACACCATCTCCTATCATTAGAGACACTAAAAAACTAAAACATTTACCTTTTACCTCAACCCCGTTACCCAACAGTGTGTTTGAACTTGACTTATCGTCCCAGATGGCCAATATTTCTCCTACCCTCCAGCAGGGTATCCAACATTCCCTACCAGGCATTCTACCGAATACTTTAGCCTTTCCCAGCTTCTCGGAGTCCGCTAGTTTCCAACCCGCCGATCCCGGGGGTGCGAAATTATCTGACATCGACGTCCAGAGAATCGCTATGGCGGTCCGCGTCCACCTGAGTAATGATCTGCAGACCATACAACAGAATGTACAACTTGCCATACAACAGCAGATTGCTCCTCTGTTGGATAAGGTGACCAGGCTCGAGGCTGAGAATGACGACCTTCGGCATCAGCTCGACGACCTCGAGCAATACGGGAGGAGAACCCTCGTACGCTTCTCCGGCTTCCCGGAGCAGACGGGAGAGGACACCTCCGCGATCATCCTGAAGGCAGCCCAGGACTCCGGCGTCGATCTCCCTCCCCAGGCTCTGGAACGGTCTCACCGTGTCGGTAAACCGGACCAGAATCGAGCTAAACCACGCCAAATCATCGCGCGTCTGAGTTCCGTGGACGCAAAGTTTACCCTGTTAAAATCCAGTCGCGGTTTTCGCTCTAATGATCAATTCAAGCGTATTTCTGTAAATGAGGACCTCACCAAATATCGCGGACGTTTAGCCTACATCGCGAGGAACTTGGTCAAAACCAACCACATAACACAAACGTGGACTACTAACGGCAAGATCATGATAAAAGATAAATCGTCGAAAATCTATCAAATCCGGCGGGAATCAGAACTTGAACCCTTCGGTCACCATATCATAACCACTTAGTCGGGAGTCAGCGTCGCTGGGCTGACTTCCCGACGGTGATGTGTGCTGTTCTTTCTTTTGTGTTGTGATTCTGACTCAAACCCGGGTACTATGTGCCCCTTCAAAGTGTATATCGTGTCCATGTTTTGTTTTTGACTTATATTATCCCCACCGTATGTGTTCATAATTTGTTTCTGGTCTTCAATCTTTACACCAAACTATATTTGCATATGTACAAAAGCTTATAACACAGTATACAATGCATAGATTAAACTTTTTATTTATTATTATTTCAAAGTCAAATTTAAACTTACATGATAGTTTCTCAAACTTTAACAACCCTCACATG